ACGCAATAGGCAAAATGACACGTTTCATGTCCTTCTCGCTTCTGCCTTCGCTTTTTCTGGGCATCTGCTTGGTTTTGGGTTGATGGTTCGTTGGCCCACTGCCCCGTTTGTCTATTTTTTTCTATTGGCGTTTTGTCCTCTCTCTCACTCTCTCCCCTTCTCTCACTCCTCTCTCTTCTATCTCTCGTTTCCCTCTATCTTTCTTCCTCTCTCTCTCTCTATCTCTCTTTTCCTTCTCTCTATCTCTCTTCTTCCTCACTCTTTTTTTCTCTACCTCTCTTTTCTCTCTCTATCTTTCTTTTTTCCCTCTCATCCGCTTTCCTTTCTACTACAATACCTCATCTCCCCCCCCCCCACAGCCGTCTGGGTATTCCCCGGTCATGCTCTTCACTCGGGTTCTGAAGGAGTTTGTTCCTGATTCGGGGAGCGAGTTTTTGTCCGTGTATCCTGTGTACCTGCGAGTCGACCGCGTGCCTGCGTATCCTGAAATTACCTCACCTGCAAGTCAAACACGCAGGTACACATATCATCTATAAGACCTTATTGTGTCCGTATTTATGTCTGTCTGCCTTGCTCTCCTCTCTCTCGCCTTTCTCTTCATCATTCCCTGCTCCTAATTCTTTATCCTTTCCCTTCCTTTCCATTTCATTCTACCTCTCTTCCATGTTCTCTACCTCGACCATCTTTCTCTGCTAGGACATGGGAATTCCGGATGTAATGCTTCTTAGAGGCAGGGAAATAGGGAGGGATAGAGGAGGGGAGGGGAGAGGGAGAGGGAGGGGAGGAGAGGGGAGGGAGGGGAGGGGAGGAGGAGAGAGAAAGAAAGAGGGAGAGCCTAATACCGCACAAGCAAGTGAGGAAGCAAAATTCTTTGTCCAGAAGGGTAAACAACAAAAAAGCAATTGCTGCTATTTTCATAGCTTGCAAGGACTTGCTGGGAGTGAGGAGAGGGGGTGAGGGAGAGAGATGAGGGGGATGGGAGAAGGAAGACGGGGTGGGGAGGGGTGTGGTGGGAGCGGGGTGCCTCCTACCTGTCGAAGTCCTTGAAATCTTGTTCATGACTCGCTTGAACCCCGCTATGACCAACATTTAAAGCACTTCGAGAACCACAACGCAAGGACAAATCATAGGAGTCGTGATGATGGATGACGATCATTACAACAATAACGACATCAATAAAACACCAGTAATAAAATCAGTAACAGCAAAATTAAACGGATTACATATGCACCGACAATAACCACACTACCACCAACAATGCCAATACCATAAGCTGCACAACTAATAATAGCAACAGCACTAATAAATCGATAATAACACTCAAGAAACAATCACACGCACCACACCCAACCCTACCCTGCCCGCCGCTACCACGTATTAGCCTTTCGTGATTTATGACGGAGAACACCTGCGCTAACACCTGTTGAATTCCCTGTATCGACGACGGACCCTGATGACAAGGGTACTTTTTGTAATTTTGTACGTCTTCAAACCTCGATATCCTAAAAGTTTTGAACCCATAATGGACATAAAACAACACAGTGTCTTCAATATGCCTGTGAACATTTTTGGGAAGTTAGATCCTGTGTGCCCTTCATAACTTAATATTTTTTTCATTTTAAACTGATTACAGCGGGTCATACAACCAGGCGTCCTGAGTTACGTAAGATACTGGATTCTCTCATCACAAGGCAGTAGTTCAGACACAAACACGCGTGGTTCGTATTCGTTTGTTTTACAGATGTTGACTGAATCATTTAAATTCATAAATCGCTCTAAATACGAGACACATACGTTGGATTTCCCCACTTACAATAGCGGATGAAAAACAAATCGTACACATGGAGACGTGCAGGAACTTCTAACCCAAGAAAGTGTTGGTTTCACTGTCTCTCTCCCGTCTGTGTCATTCCAAACTATCACCTCGCCCACACGAGAACCGTCAATCGCGCAAAGGCAGTAGTTGCTTTGCAGGCCTTGTTTGGACATATATTTCAAAACGCAAAACACACACACACACACACACATTATATATATATATATATATATATATATATATATATATATATATATATGTGTGTGTGTGTGTGTGTGTGTGTGTGTGTGTGTGTGTGTGTGTGTGTGTGTGTGTGTGTGTGTGTGTGTGTGTGTGTGTGTGTGTGTGTGTAAAATATATACATATATAAACATATAAATTATATATATATATATAATATATATATATATATATATATAATATCTTATACTTATATGTACATATATCTATATATTTTATATATAATATACATATCTGTCTATCGATCTATCTATCTATTTATCTATCTATCTCTATATATGACCCGGCGTTAGTTTATGGAGGCATATTCACATACGCACACCTATTCTAGAGGTCTATCAACTTTTCATGTAACACTCACTCCATGCAACAGAGCGTGCGTGCTCATTTGTAACAACACCTAGAGGCAAAGGGGACACGGTGCTATGGGCACAAGGCAACCAC